TCTATCTATCTATCTATCTATCTATCTATCTATCTATCTATCTATCTGCAGAAGAAATAATGCAAATAGCAATCTGGAAATAAAATTCACTTCAGTTTATGGTCATTTTTTAAATTTGTTGCGATGTTGAATAATGTTTTGCTGTTGTCAGAAGGAAGCTGAGTATAATGTCAGATGATTCTGAGGTGAAGCCATGTGCAGAGTAAGGTTTAATAAGACACACATCTTTAAATGCAACCTTTAAGCATAATAAAGAGATAGTTTTAACTTTTTGAAGTGGGGTTCTGTTGTTAAGGTATTGAGCAATAAATATCTTACCTGTTGTGGATAGCTCTTTGAACAACCTCAGCTTGGAGAGTTTAATTTTGTCCTAAAGGCAAAATGGACTGCTGTCGCAGGTCCGATCGCAAAAATCAACAATCGGTTCATAGAAAACGTATTTTTAATTGTTTACGTCTTATTTTACATTACATAAGTTTTTGTCCACTGCTGAGAACTGAAAGGGTAATAATGTTTTGCCTGTATCCCCTGAATCTTGGGTTGAATTTTAATAAAACCTTCAGAAAGTAATCATCAGATATTCGTCTACAACAGATTAATTTTTGGAGTCAACTCCATTCAAGATGGCCACAGCAGCCAACTGAATTAAAGAAAATGGTTATAGTGCAGTGATTTTTACAGATATTGACGTAAAATCTGATATGGTGAGACTGATCCAACACATGTGGAGGGTTCAGACTACACTGTAAACAATTTATCATTAAACTGACAATAACTTACTGAAAACAGTTATCCAGTAACTTATTGTATTTAAAATACAGTAAACTACTGTAAATATATACTGTATTTATTTTAATAATATGTGGTAAAACTATTTTACAGTAAGAAGTATAAATACCCATGATGCCTTGCAAATCAATGGTACATTACTTTTGATAATACAGAAATATTGATGTAAAAATGAAAAAATCTACAGTACCTTACTGTGAACTGCTTCTACAGTAAGGTACTATTACAAATACAGTAAATTTACTGTAAAAACAAACAAAAAAAAATGTATAGCTATCAGATCAATAATCTGATCAGAACTTGATATTTTTCCAGACTGAGGTTGTTCAGCAGATAAGATATTACATTTTCACAATTGTTCCACAGAACCCTGTTTAAAAAAAATATCTGTGCTAGCTCTTTCAATTTTATTCTCAACAAAAATTCACATAGATGTGGAATAATTCAGCAGACAAATACAATTTCAAAACAAAACTTCGTTGTGCAGAACCAGATGAACCTGCTGGTGAGAATCCATTTCCCCCATTTAAAGTGGGATTAGTTAATGAAACTTAGTTTGAAAATATATTTCATGGCAACTGACCTTATAAAAATTGCAATTTAAACTGAGAAAAAAGGGAAAATCACCACTTTTGACTTTTCAGTTTTTATTTGGGTTTTTATTTATTCATTGGTTTTCTTTTTTTCTTAAATCCAGCATATGAAATTCATTAAATTTGGTATTTGAAGTTTGTTTTATTCTATTAATAAATCAAAGACGTGATCAACAAAGTATTGTATGTATAGCGGCTGTAAACAAATGTCAACTTGAGTTCAGCTTTAATGGTGAACAATTTATTAAATTGCAAAAATTGTATAAAGAAAAAAATATGAAGCGATTTAAACCCTTCACTAAATACTAATGTTTTAAGATAAATTTGTGTGAGGAAAGGTTTACACACATACAATTATATAACTGTTTTGCATCTTTTACCTATATGACCATTTTGATTTTCATCATTGTAGAACAGGGGTCTGCAACCTGTGGATCTGGGGCCACGAGGGGCTCTTCAGCTCCTCTCAAATGGCTCCTTTCAACGTTGACCAATGATGTCATGAACCTGAGTAATGTTTACATTTATAATGACAATAGAAATGTGTACTTTTAGTATTTTTTTCATCCGATTTTTGATTTTTATGCATGTAGTATCTGCAGCAGAACTGAAGAGAAGTCATTCAGGTGGGTTAGGCTGAATGTGAACTTGTTGTTTTTTTTTTTTTTTTTACAGAAGTTACACATTGTGCATAGATCAAGAGAAAGGCTTCCTGTAATTTTATTATCCAAATGAGTTAATTATGGCTTGAGTTTTCACCAGAATGTGTTTAAAATGCAATAATCAGTTTTATTGTTGAGCTAACTGATTACCAGCTTGTTTGTTTCCTTCTTAGTTGATGCAACTTTCTGACTTGCAGCTGTGCTCGCTCTCCAAGTCCACCAGGAAATTAATGTGTTATCAACATAATCAGAGCAAACTTCTGCAAAACTTGAAAGTTTTATACATTTCATCAAATTGACTAAATATTGAGGCATAAAAATATGTTTTAGTTACATGCAGCAAGTTATTTGAAAATCATCAAATCTATAAAAATCAAGTAGTATAGTTATACTATACTTCAATACAATTCAATAATTGTTGTTGGTTTTTTTTTTAAGTATGTCTAAATGTCACAATGTAATATGAAGTACAAGTATTTACACCAGGGCTTTTCAAGTGGCGGCCCGGGAGCCACATCAGGCCCACGGGTGAACTCAGTTTGGCCCTCCAATGGGTTCATTTTTAAATAAAACTAGATTTTAAATCATTAAACAAGCTTACTTAATGGCAATAACTGCTGGATGTCCGCCCCCTGAGCTCTTGGCTTTCAGTATCTGTGACCCCCTGAACAATTTAGTTGAATAACCCTGATTTACACTGTATATAATTCTTAAATTGAATTATCCTAATTGTTAGGGTTAAGTGACTTTTGTAGCTCTTTACATTTTTTATAGAGTAGGAGAAATGGTAAGCATGGCTCTTCCAGCTGTGATGGTTGCAGACCCCTGGAGGACCATGAAGCCCTTGAATGTGGGCTGGACTTTGTTCTGGGTTTGATATTGTATAATTGGTCCTTATGCGATTACAATACTGTATAACTGCTTTCATTTTTCTGTGTTCCTCTAGTGTGTGTGCCCCCACTACCTGCATTAGGTTGTGATGACCCACACTACTTCCAAATGTATCTGTGACCCTCCCCAATCCTGACTCCTAACCTCTAATCCCTGACCTTTGACCTCCACTATGGGCAGTGTTGGCAGTGGGGTGGCAGGAGAGCAGGAGTTTGCCATGAAGTCCGTGGGCACGAGGACCACCCTGCCCAGAGCCCCTCCTCTCTCTCGCCGTTGCCCTGCTGACCGCAGCTGCAGCGCTGAACGGTTGCCCCGGCCCCCGGCGACCATATCAGACGGGACGGCATCTAGTGATGAACGAGGGAGCGTCAGTATCGGGACTGGGACCTGCACTGACCGGCCCACCGAGACAGCCTCCTCCACCAACACTGAATGTACCATGACCGCCCCGTCCAACAACAACCAGTTGGACTGTGGCACCGCAGCTGTCAGGAGGGAGTGGGAGAGTGTGAGGCAGCGTGAGAGGGGGAGAGACCGGGACCGGGACCGAGACTGGGACCGGGAGAGATTAGAGAGGGAGCGTGAGAGGGAGAGGAACCGGGAGAGGGAACGAGAACGAGTGGAGAGGGAGAGGCTGGAGCGTGAGAGGGAGCGTGAGAGGGAGAGGGCCAGGGAGAGGGAGCGGGAACGGATCGAGAGAGAAAAGATAGAAAGAGAGAGGGAACGAGAGAGGGAGAGGGAGAGGATGGAGAACGAGAGGATGGAGAGGGAGAGGGAGATGCAGGCGGCAGGCTTGGATGTATGTGGGAACATTGTGGGTCGGGGAGCAGTGGAGAAGACCAGCGTTGGCGTGAACCACCACCCGCACAGAGAGATGGCCGCCACCAGAACCGACAATGAAAACAACCCAGTCGGGCACAACCCACCAAACCACAACCCGCCCAAGATTATGGCCGTGTCAGGAAAACTGGAGCAGGTACTTCAACATTCAGAGTAGCGGTACACAACCTGAAGGCATGCACTTTAAAGGAATAGTTCAGACTTCTCAAAGTGGGGTTGGTATAAACTGTCATTATCTTACCTGCTGTTCACAGCAGATTTCAGTTTAGAGAATCAGATAAAATATCATGAGGGGTCTAATAGTTATTCAAACACTAGAAACCTTAAAAATGTCTTAGCAATCACGTAAAATACTCTCTTTTTTTATGGTATAACTTACATATGCAACAATTCACACGGAAGATCAGCCAGGTCCAAGGTCCGCTACTGAAACACAACTTTCCAAATTAACTTCAAGCAAACCCAGTTCACATAACTACCCAATGCTAAAGAAGAGTACAGCAGTCCCTCGCTACTTCGCGGTTCGTTTATCGTGGACTCGCTCTATCGCGGTTTTTCAAAATAAGACTGGACATGACACACAATTGGCTGATTGATGGATGAGCCGCATGATCGACATGGATTTTTATTTAAAATAAATTATTTTAAATTATTTAGCTCCTGCTGCACCTTTGTGCAGCCCACACTGCAGGATAAATTTTCTGCTGCAGCTGATCAGGTCTCCAGTCCATCACAGGGCCACATAGAGACAAACAACCATTCACTCTCTCACTCACACCTAGGGACAATTTAGAGTTACCAATCAGCCTAACATGCATGTTTTTGGTCTGTGGGAGGAAACCGGAGTACTACTTACCACTTGTGCTACTATTCCTATACTTTGCGGTTTTTCACTTATCGTGAGGCTTCAGGGTACGGATCCCCCGCAATAAGCGAGGGACTACTGTACAGTTAATATTCATCAGGGGTCAAAGTTCTGACCCCAGTCCAACAAACGTTTCTCTAGTTTTTACTTTATCCCCTCAAGAACAAATAGAATGTGCAACATTTCAGTTCCACAAGCAACAGAAGTGTTTAAACCCACAGCCCAATGTTTGTTTGTTTTTTACATCTCTGAATCAGAGAAAAAAAAACATGTAGTTACACTATGTTTTTATTTATTTATTAGTGAAATTATTTTAATGATGAATCTTTTTTTTCTTGAAAATGAATTAAATAGCTCAGGATGCTTGTATACAATTTGTTTGAATTGAGTATTTTATTTATTGTTGTGCAAATAATATTATCCATTTATAAAGGCAGCAGGGGGGCATTTCAATAGTTACTGTATTTTGAAGCTAATAATTTTAAGTATTTTATTCATAAAATGGCCTTACTAAAGATTGTTTCACATGTTGTTTATTTTTAAGGACTCCAATTTGATCTGTTTGACCAAATTTAGCACTTTAGCTGAATGCGCATATTAGCTCTCAGAATAAACTTTCCATTTGAAAGAAAAACATTATCAATTCAACTGAATTGATATGTCAAAATAATGACTTAGCAAACAAACTCAATGCTACCAAAATCTTCCAACTGTGTTGTTCACCATCTTTTCACACACATGTTCACAATGTTTTCAGAAATAAAATCACAATTCCAGACGTTGGAAAAGTATCTTCTGTGCGTAAGAAGTTTCCTCTACAAGTTGGATTTTTACCAGCTCTGTTATTCTGTGAATTGCAGTAAAAGTTTTTCATGTTTCCAAACTGATGCTCTTTCCTTCCTGGTTGTGTTTTCCAGGCGATGCAGAGCAGCTCCGGACTCGTCCGGCCCTCCGCCTTCAAGCCGGTGGTTCCCAAGAGTTTCCACTCCATGCAGAACCTGGTGGCCCAGGCAGGAGGGACTGGGAGTGAGGGGAAGGCTGACGGCAGGGGTGAGGGCTTCAGTGAGGGCAGAGTAGGCAGGAGGGGCAGAGATGGAGGGGGAGGGGAGACGGGGGAGGTGCCAGAGGCCCTGCTCCTGGACCAGGACAGCCCAGTTAGGGTCAGCAGGAGTGAGGGAGGGGGAAATGGTACTGAAGTGGTTCAGGGAGGGATGTCAGATTCAGGAAGAAACTCCCTGACCAGTCTGCCCACCTACACAGGCTCGGGGTCTGGCTGCGGGCCCCCGGCAGTCTTGGGACCGCTCAGTGCTTCCACGAGCCACATTAACAGGTTGGGCATGGCTGGGGCCGCTGCAGGCCTGGATAAGATGGAAAAGCCTGGATACCAGGTATGACTGGGGGGGCTACACCAGTTCGTTGTTAGTTTTTTACGTCTAAACTGCCCCCGACGTGGTACCATAATGTGGTTCTGTTGTGCAGAACGGGCTCAGCGCCTCAGATAGTGGCCGGTCCTCCTCGGGAAAAAGCTCCTCGTCCTATCAGAGGCTGAGCCACCTGAGTGATGCTCCAGCACCTCTGCGCCCCTCCCCCTCCTCTGATGACATCATCCAGGACCTCGAGGACCGACTGTGGGAGAAAGAGCAAGAGGTCTGAGACCAGTCAGAAATGTCTGACACAATTTGATTTGATACAGTTCATTAATTGTTAGATTGTTTCCCGAGGAATTCGGGGATTTTTAAACTCATTTTATTTTGGTTTTGACCCGAGTGAATGAAAAGATCTTTGAGAAAAACATTGTTCAGTTCCAGTTTTAGGAATTAAAACGTCCATTCATTTAGTTCAGTTTTAAGTATTACGTCTTTAATGTCGTTAAAGATGTTTTAAGACATTAGACAATTTGCATGTAGCTGAAACATCTACTCTGCAAACTGCGGTTGCTGTACACATCGTTACGGTCCAGGATGTCACCAACCTTGTAGAGCTGGATGGTAAACTTAAAAGTTGAATTTTATTTAAATATTTAAGAAAAAATGTTTAAAATTGTATATAATTGATTAAAGAGTTTATGACCCACATGCAGTTTGACAGTATTTTTGAGTTAAATTACATATTGAGCTGTTGTATTTGTAATTAACTAAATGAAGTTCTGTATTTTGTCACTCTTGTTGGAGTTATTTTTCTGCTTTGCATTGATGCTGATGGGTCTGATTCCCCCACCCCACGCCCCCGCCCCCCCCCGGCCCCGGCCCACCAACCGCGCCGCACCGGCAAGAGCGAA